ATGTATATATATATATACGTTTATATACATATATATTATTTTATATATATATATATATTAATTTTGTTCAGTTTTACTTATTCTTTCTTATCTTTACCTTGGTTCTCTTCTTCACTTAGCTGCTTCAGTAACAGTATCTATAGTCATCTTGTTAATAATAATTGGTAAATTTAGGATAGTCTGGCATCACAGTTAACCACTAAGCGTAAATGCTTAGGTTTTGGTGTTTGTAGGTAGGAAGCGGGTCGTCATTGTTTCTATCGTCAGACCACCTCAGTTCGCAGGCTGACGATCACTGATAGTTACGCATTGTCTGGCTTTCCTGTTGGTTTTGTAACACTGAGCGGGCAGAGTTTCCATATTTGTGTTGATTACTTTGCGTAAACGAACACCGTCCCGTAGTGTTAGATTGTAGCGATTGTGGAGGATTACGCAAAGGTAATGCCGGTGGTATCGGAGGTGGTGTAGGTGTTTTAGAACAACCATGACTTTGCTCCAATGGCAAGGAGTAATGAGTATTACTATAAATGTAATTAGCATCAATGTCATCACCTTCCAATCCTCCTAAGGTATTATTGTAATCGTGCGATGTACCGTAATGTAACGTTGACGCATGATGATAGTTACTGTTCTGCTGTTGATGATGTGGATGTGTCTTTTGCTCTTGTATTTCATTGTGTACTATGGGCAAATCGGCGTAAGAATAGCACGAGTCACCCACGACGGCCGTTTGCTGCAGAAAATGAGGTTTTGTATAATGATTTAATATCGAATTGTTCATAGAGTTTTTCATATGCATAACAAACGATGTAGAATCATCAACAGTTGACATACAAGGCTTTAGTAACTTTTTGTCGTTTATCAGAGAATTAGTGGGAACTTGCAACTGCTGAAAATTTTTCTGATTATCAGCACTCAGATCAGTAATCGGCGCAGAGCACATGGGTCCGTAATGTTGTTGCCCGGGATGGTGTGGAGTATAAGTATTCGGAAAAGTGGTAGTCGAATGTATACCCAAACTACAAGGATGTGGATGATGGCGTGTCATGTAATCTTCATCGCAGAATGTTTTCTGATATTCTCTTTCCTTACGCCCCAAAGCTGAGTTACCCCAATTACCTCCTTTCATGTATTCGCGTATCTTATGGCGACATCTATACAAAATCAAAGCTAAGGCTGTAATTGTTGCGGCAGTGCCCACTAAAAGAGCGCCAATTAACGCTTGCTTTCTAGGATCAGTATGCGTACACCCTAATAGGGTCGGGTTTAAACTTTTAAGCTCTTCTCCTCTCAAACGTTCGGGAAATTCGCAGATTACATCGTTGACCATATCGCCGGTAGCATTCTTGCTAAGCAGCAGGTTGCGCAACCACATTATGCGACAATCACAAGCCATTGGATTTTCGGAGATGTCCAAAGTAGACAAATCTTTCCACGGAAATAAGCCTTCAGCTAAAGTTGTTAAAGCATTGGCTTTAAAAGAAACTACACGTAAATGTGGTAAGCCACTTAAGGATCCTTCTTGCACTTCTATTAACATTTTGTTTGATGATAAATTTAAAATTTCCAAATTGGAATTGCTAGCAAAAGCGCCATTCATAATCCGCTTTAAACGCAGACAACCTGTAATATCTAAATGTTTCAGTTGCTTCAGACCGACGAAGGCGCCTTCCAGAATTGCTTCGAAGTCATTTTGGCCGAGATTTAAGTTCTCTAAACGCAGCAAAGGGCTAAGACTGACAGTAGGAATGCGAGACAATCGGTTATCGGATAAATCTAAACTGCGTAAGGCTTCCAAACCGTGAAAAGAGTCATGAGAAATATTACGCAAACCGGCGCCTTTCAAATCGAGGAGTGTTAAGCCCTTAAGATCTTGAAACGCAGACGATGGTATCATTAACAAAGAATTCATACCCAAGTACACTTCTGCCAAAGATGGCATAGCCTGAAAGTGTACAGGGTCTGGTACCGACGTTAAAGCATTATCATCCAAATACAAGATACGTAACTGGGACAAACCATCAAAAGCTTTAGGATCAATAAAACCGATGCGGTTTTCTCCCAAATTCAATTCTTCAATTTTAGTCAAAGAAGCGAAACAGCCCTGATGAAGTTCGGAGATGAGATTGCCGCGCAAATTTAAAACCGTGACCGCCGTCAATCCAATGAACGTCTTGTTGTTTATTTGACCAATTTTATTATGATTTAGATGGATTTCCTGCAATTTACGCTGATATGCAAAGGTATGTTGCGGTATATTCACTAAATGATTCGAAGACAAGTCCAAGAATGTTAATTCCGTATAAAATTGCATAGATGAATCAATTGTTTTAATTTTATTGCTTCGTATAATTAAGCGTTGTATCGAAGGATTTAAAGCAATCGGCAAAACATCCAACTGACCCTCACCACATTGCACAATTAACGTGTTATCATCACACTGGCAACCCGAGGGACAATTAGCCAGGGCAATTGCATAGCGAAAAACCATGAACAGCGATAAATTTATAAAAAGCTTCGAAGCCATGTTGAAGAGACGTGCAGAAGAAAGCTTTTGATGATTTTAAAAAACTTTGCGTTTTTGCCTTGTATTTTTTTTTTTGTTTGTGTTTTAAGAGAAAATGTGAAATTATTCTATTGGAATTCTTCTCCAAATTTTAAAAATTTCAATAAATTTACATTTACATTCTTTCACACAACAGTTTAAACACCGTAAGCGATAATCCAGGTGCTCGCTTCTGGCACGGTTCAATTTTATTAGTATTAGTATTTTATTTATTTACTTATGTATTTAATAAATAGCGTGTTGTTTACGTTTTTACCGGAACTTAAATAAAATAAAAACGTCATACAACAACCGCATCAAAAATCAAGCCACACTAAAACTTCTGCAACCGCACAACATGAACAAACGATTTACACTGATTTCTAAAATAAGTAAAGTTTTTAACTACACCTCGGTTGACTGTCAGTCATCTTCTCTTACGAGTAAAATAAATGCCTAAAAATACTGTGTGGGGTGCTTTGAAGTGAACGAGGAGAGAGTATAAATTGCTCAACTCTCTTTCTTCTTCTCTTATGAGAGATTCGATATGTATTAAAAACAAGTTTTCAGTTTACTTATGAAACGGATTAGCAGAAACTGCGTATAAATGTTTTTATTTCATTTAGTACTTTTCTGGGCTCGCTTCTTAAAAATAAAACAAAAAAGTACTTCCTTGCACATATCCATTTGATAGCTAATGTAGCATAATCTTTCTATATATACGAAATTGTAATTATATTGGGCGTATGTTCAATTTTTAAAATAAGGCAAGGAATAAAGCTAAAAATATATGAAAATTTTATGTTGGAAAGTGTAACTTACACATAAGTTAAGTATAGTGATGATTCTCTTAGTTCAAAATGAAAGGAAACAATCATAACTATAAATAAATAATTGTATATAAAAGAGTAAAATAGATTTCATCTTTTCATTGAAATGTTGATATTCGACTGCTTAATTTTCCTCCGATAGGTGTAGAGTAGATGACCTTTAAACTTTTGAACATATTGTAAAAATTTTGATCCTTGTAGATATTGTCCCTTAGTTTATTTCATTCAGTAAACTCAAAATAGACATACACTGGCTCAATTTAATACGTTTAGCCTTAGTAATTAATATTGTAACAAACGTGATTAAGAAATCTCTATAAAAATTTAATACTTTTTAAAGCTAGAAAAGTATTTATTTTCAACGTACATGGTACACTTTTTTCATCTTGTTTGTTACAAAAGTAATTATCGAATAGAGAAACGGAGAAAGTGAGACGATTTTGGTTTTGAGTTTAAATTATATGTTTAATTACTCTCTGAGTCGTTTAAGTTTATGCAATGCAACTGAGAGAGATCGAGAGAGGTTGAGAATAATGTAACAAGAACGTGTTCTCTCTATTAGTTGTATCATTACTCCACAAATTCTGAAGAATTTAGTTTACAGGGTTTGTAAGCTAAATGTTGTGTTGGATTTTGTAGATGTATATGGTTAAATATTTTTATAAGACTCTTATGAAGGATGATTTTTTAAATATTCTTCAGCAGCCAGAATTGTTTAGAATCAAATCCTATATTTTTCTTCTTTTTTTGCATTTGTCTAAACTATTTCTAAAATCTTTTCCAAATGGCACATATGTAATACTTACCTCGTATATTTCTGGAAGCCTTCAATTCGCTATTATAGTCCCGTAAATGTTCATATGATAGCAAAAATATCAAAAAAAATTTTTTATTTATATTAAAACAATTTAAGCAGATGATCACAAATAAGATCGATGTTGCGATGATTCATAAAACACCAACTCTTGGAAAGGACGGAGATATACGATTCATGTTCAACATTATCTGAAACAGAAATAAAAAAGAAAAGAAAAACTTAATTAAGACAAAAAGAAAAACTCCCTGGGAAGAAGGGAAACTAAAAAGTTCTATAAGACTGAGTTACATATACTTTTTGTCTTATTTAGCAACTAAACGGAAGCCAACCGCATTATCTCGTCTTTACCCCTCCTCTTTACGCTTCATAATGTTGTCATTGTTAAACTTAGAACATATATATAGAGTTTAAAGTGTGTGAGATTTTCATATTTCTATTTTTCTGTATTTCTTAGTTAAATTTTAGGTGAGAATAGAACGCACTTAAGAAATTTTTAATTCAAAATTACCCATATTATTATATAATATTAAGATTTATTAAATGGCAGGGCAATGGCACTAAAGTTTCATGTTATCCCATATTTTAAAGTGAAGGAGAGAGAGCTCTCTCTTGTATTGACAGAGAGGGCTCAAAAAATTGCCTTAGCCAAATCAAATTTTTCATACCAATTTAGAATGTCCAAATATTATTACAGAGCGGATTTTGTCGGGAAATTTTAAATATTGCAATTTTTTTCCATGTAACGACTTTCCAAACTGATGCATTATATGGTGAGTGGTCAAAGAGAATATCGATCCAAACCATTTCCAATAAGTGTTCAGCCTTGGGTCAAAGCACACCAGTGTATCCAATTTCGTCAAAATATCTAAAAAATTGCCACCTGTTGTTTGAACACAAATTTACATGAAAAACCACACAGACAGGCTTTGATCGGGCTTAAGCCGTTCCGCGCGGTGTAAGGTATAACCAATTTAACTATTGAGAAGACAAACGAGACAATTGCAAATCGTTCTTTATTTTGATTGAATTGTTCCAGTTGAAATTCTAATTTAATAAAAAAGTTCATTTAGTGAAGTATGTCAAAAGCAAGATTCGTGATGTCTTTTAGAGTTTCTTTAGCATTTTCAAATCTTTGATTGACTTTCAAATTTCCAACCATTGCGAAAGATTTTCTAACTTATAAATTAGAATAAGCCGAACGATATGAAACTTTTATCGGATCTTCATGTAATAGTGGTGTCATCTTAATAGGAAATGTTTACACTAATATTCAAAATGAGCGGATTTTCGCAGTACGAATATCACTTACTTTTCAGCGTGATGTAATAAATGAAAGCGTTCGACTTTGTAGAATACCTATCTAAAATCAATTTTTAAATCCAATTATGTTAGGTTTACAAGCTTCATGGCCTTCATGTTCTATAAATTTATCTCTCCATGCTGTAGATTAATAGATTTATTTAAAAGTAAGTCGAACGGGGAAACTTATGTGGCTTTCTAAGAATACTATTGTGGTGCGATAATTTATTTTTGCAATTTATTTCGTTAATTGTTGCAGTTCGACGACGTTCGACCACACAAGAAAAAAGTCTATCACATTTTCTCGCCATTTCGATTTATTTTCAAACATTCATTATATAGTTACATCATTCAACCCGATAATTTTGCGAAATGAAGAAAGCTCAATAAGTTGGACCACATTTTTATACCCACTACCGAAGGACGAGGGGTAAATTCACGTTGTCAAAACGTTTGCATCGCCCAGAAGGAAACATCAGAGACCGCACAAACTATAAATATTCTTGATCAGCATAAAATTATTAATCGATTATGAATCGATTTTAGTATGTCCGTCTGATCGTCTGTGTAATGTCTGTTGTAAACATTGTTCTAGCCGCAAAAATCAAGCTATCGACTTGAAAATTGAAGTTGTTGCACGCAGGTTCGTCCTGAAAATTATCCAAAGCAGTCGAAGAACATGTCTATGCAAGGTGAGAACACCTCTGTTTTTCAAAAGGAGTAAAAAATTGTTTTTTTGCTCATTACTCATAGCAGATGAATGTACAAAAATTGGAAGGCGTATTCTATGGGCGATGCTGTAGCATTTTTGTGCAAAAATGCAAAAAACTTACCACGCCTACCCAATATTATTCATTATTTTTTCAATACCTTTCTAACGTGCAGACACAAGCTTCAAAAATCCAATAAAGTATATGAATTCTCGGCCAGTTTCAAATCGTAAATGCTCATAAACATGTCCGCCTATTCGTCTATCCATCTGTCTGTTTGCGACAGATTTAGCATTTATGGTAAACACTCTCCCCCTATCGAAAATGATGATATCGCCCACAAATTTGTAACAGAATTTAGAATTGACCTAAGCTTTTAAAAGGACACGCCTACAATGCCTGCATGCATCTACGAACAAAAGCTTTAAATTTTAAAATAGAAGAAATCAACTGCGCCTACTCCATATTATAGAGCATAATAATTTTATTCCTTTACTTCTTTTTTGTTTTTAAAATTAGCCTCTGCATCGTTGCTAATTTTATTTTAAGGGCAAGAAAAGCAATATTGAAAAAATAATTATAATAATCGAATAATGTTAGAGAATATGATCCCAAATTCGGTTGTGACTGCATCTTTTACACCGATCATCGTTATCTATAATATTGGATAAGCATGACTGTTTTCTTCTATTCTTATAGAGTAAAAGTGAAAACGTATGTCGTGTATCTATTGCAGTTTAGGAGCAAGAAACGAAAAAACTTTTTGCTACATCGTAGATGTGTCCTTTGATCGGTTTGAGCCATTTTCAAATTGCTTGGAAATATTTGGGCGATAATATACCTTTTTTTTGTAGCTTCATTTTTCTTCAACTATATACGCACACTATATAGTAAATGGTAGCAATAAATATTCTTTTTTTGCTTCAAGATTTTAAATTTCTCGTTTTTCATTTTTCTTCAAATTTGATAAATTATTTTGTTTGTTTTTCATATTATTTCAATATAAAATATAAAGCAGCACGGACATAAACCGATTCAAAGATACCGCACTTTTAGCAAAGACAAACAGTACACTTCGTACGTTGGGCTAATTTCACGTTAGTGATAACTTAAGTCATGCTTGTCGTGGCAATAGTGGCAATTGTCTTGGCATGTCGCATTGCTATAAAAATGTTGCTAAAGCTTATAACTGAACATTAAGCAATATTTCATAATCATTGCTTCCGTCGCTTGCCGTACACCATATTATCTACGATTTATGTGTGTATTGGATTTAGAAAGGAGAAGGAGAAGGAGAAGGAGAAGAAGAGCTAACGCAACTGAAAATAAGCTATAAGTTATAACTTTATTATTATTAAGGGTTAACAACACGCAAGAGAATAATTTTAGCATAAACTAATAGAAGATTCATTAAGCAATTAAATGACTTTTTAATTACCACTCCATGCAAAGAGTTTCCTTAACCCTCGCTACAACCGCATGAGCCGAATTAAAATTCAACCTTATTTGCTCTGATAAGGTTACAAGACTTATTACATTTTTACACCTACTTGTTACCAAATTCCCTTTTGTCATCCATCCATTTGACTTTAGCGAAAAAATTCTATCAACTTGAAAATTTTTAAGAAAAAAGCCGTAGTTTTTGTATAATGCTTAAAATAAACGTTAATACGTTAACAAATCGAAAAATATTTTCAAAATA